GAAGGGAAGTGCAGTGTTGAGTAATGTCAACAGTGCAGTGAAGGGAAGTGCAGTGTTGAGTAATGTCAACAGTGCAGTAGCTGAGAAGACGCTGCCACAGTCACACGACCAGAATCTTTTCCATACAGATTCTCCTAACTCCATTGATGCTGAAGAGATACAGCTGACAAATGCCTCTGACTCCCCAACTCAGTTTGACATAAATGACTGCAATACAAACGATCTGCTAAACACTTGCCACCCCTCCTCGGAGACCCCAGCTGATGCCAGTTCCCCACTGCCAGCCTTTACTCCAGCTACAAACCTGGACAGATGCCTGGGTCAGATGAGACAGAGCAGCCAGGATCAAGTGTCTGATTGTACATTGTTAAAAAGTTTGGTGCATGTTGTTGAGAATCAGAGTACGTCTGTGGATTTGTCCACCCACGGGGCTAACAATGTTCATATGAGGGACAGAGTGCTGGCCTTAGCAGATGAGAGCAGGGATCCAGAAAGAAATGTGGAACAGATGAATGTAGAGGAGCAGAACAAGATCTCTGATGCAGAGACAGACTATGTAGATGAGACTGATGGCGAATCAGATGAGAGAATGGAGGCTAGTCAGAGCTCAGGGGAGAAGAAACTGAGGCATAGATTGTAAGTGTTTTTTTACATTGGTTTGTTCATTCATGTTAAATTTATTATAAGCATGCAGCCAACTAGGCATAAGTGCAGCTGGGTTGAGCAAAAGCTTCATTGCTGTATTTTACGATTGTACAGGTTTCTGACTACTGCCATCGATCCTGGAATGAAGTTCACAACTTACATCGCCTTAAATACACCTCAGAGGCATGAAAAATACATTAAGGCCAGGACTCTTGCGTTTACGTCAGACCAGCAGGTAAAACACATTTTACAGTACTCAATGCAAGATTGCACTATACTGAAATCAGAGAATAAAATCATTCGAGATTTGTGCTAAATTCATTGTGCAGATTATGGGTGTGGTGTGATGCATGAATAGGGCTTGTTGTCTTGTATTTTCATAGACTGTTAAAATGAAGTTACCTGCCGCCTGTGTCAACCCAAAGACTGGAAAAGAGCAGCAAAAGCACAATTGTGGCATGTCAGTTAATGTGAAGACTTTCTATGCAAAGACCGCGCCATCGCAGGTTACATGCAGGTTTACTTTCTAAGGCAGTTTTGGGATGTGAATGTTAAAGTAAATCCATATAAAATACTAGAATGTCAGTATGGATTTTACTACTTATATCTATCTCCTACTATAATGCATCTTATATAAATACAAACTTGTATGTAGACATAGGGTTAGTAATTTTGATACTTTATTGTCTCCGTGGGGAAATTGTTTTTACGCCTCCCTCAGCTTGCCCTTTGTAGAGTAAGCTGTCTGTGAAGGGCAGCCACCCGTAGTAGCGCCCAGGGAGCTGGGGGTTAAGGGCCTTGCTCAAGGACCCGCAGACGTGCTGAGGCTGGGTTTGAACCGGCGACCTTCTGATTGCAGGCACACAGGCTTAGCCCACTGAGCCAAGAAAAGTCTCTCATTACATTAAGTGCATTATAAATTTATGATACCTTTTTATGAGAAATAATATTATATCGTTGCATGTCATTTTAGTGTCTATAGTCTGTAGTTGAAGGTTTTATACACTTTTCCAGTGCATGAAGACTGAAGATTGAATGAGGAATCAATTTAAATATTACATAGACATTCTACATAAATGCTAGAATATGCAACAACACAGATCAGAAAAAAATGACAATTTGCACATGGAATAAATTTTATTGCCTGTCAACTTCCACCATAAATCTGTTGTGGTGGCATAAAAAAATAAATTTTGGATATTTGGATAAAACTTGCAGATGAAAGTAAACACATTTTTTTGGTGTCCTGCCAACTTAAAAGAGTAATGTCTAGCATTACAGTCATAATCACTGAACTGAAATGTACTTTTGTGATTACAATTTAAAGGACTAACAATTCCATATTATTTGACCTCTTTTCAGATTAACAAGGGACAGCCTATTAAAGGAAAACTCAGTTTCACGTCAATTAACTGGTAAGATTCATTTTTCTATTTTCTCTCTTTCATTATGGCACAAAAAATATCTTTAGCTATTTTTTCACATTACCATATTAAATTTAACTTAAGATTATATACTTAATCTAAAATTAATCTAATTTGAATCAGTTTTTGAAATGGAGGCCAGATCCTCATTTATCCACCACAGGGTCTTTGTGAGCCTGGTGTCCATCTTACGCTGCATAGGGCACAAGGCAAGGGAACAGCTCATCGCAGGGTGCACACGCGCGCCTGCACGCACACACACGCGCGCCTGCACGCACGCACACACACGCGCGCCTGCAACGCACACACACACACGCGCGCCTGCACGCACACACACACGCGCGCCTGCACGCACGCACACACACACACGCGCGCCTGCACGCACGCACACACACACACGCGCGCCTGCACGCACGCACACACACGCGCGCCTGCACGCACGCACGCACACACACACGCGCGCCTGCACGAACAAAATATGAGATCGTTGGCATGTTTACTTCTTTGTTTGAAATCACAGATCATTGTGGGGAGCTGAATAACATGTTTTTATTACATTGTGAGGGACATTTGGTCTCTCTCTCTCTCTCACACACACACACACACCAGGCTCACACGAACCCCAGCCCTGTGCCCCATGCTACCTACAATGGGCTCCAGTGCCCCCCACCAACACTAGCAGTTAGAGGATGGATGTCTCTGGTTGTTTATTTGATCGTTTGCTTATCCATTTTATATATTTTTTTTTTCAGAAACTGTGAGTGACCTGCCATGTTAGTTCCATTTAGTTTTTAGTTCCATTGCAATGTTGGTCAGTTTTGTATTTGAGCAACTGGCAAAGTTTTCTGCCTTATTAAACTGAAAAGATATTTTAAATTTTAGGTATTTGGCATTTTTGGTTCACTATCACATTAAGTATTTTACAATGCTTTTACTAATCCTTTATTTAATACATTGTAATATATTTAAATTAACCTTACTGATTGTGTGGTTGTCAGTGTTGTGTTAAAAAAAAATAAACGATACCACAAATATTGTATGAAAGTATATATATCTTTATTGGTCTTCCAGACTGCAATAGCAAAATAATTTTTATTTATTTAGTCTTAGTTTTGGGTAAAGTTAGTTCTCTTTATTAGCAGACAAGACAGTGTCATGATAACTGTATTCACAAAGACGTCTGGGCCGCTTGTCATACATGACCGTTATGTTGGGTTATGTGTTGAAGCCATTATCTCTGTACATGCCGCTTTTGAGTTTCTGCTCAGAAAACTTCCTGTTAGTCCCGTTGAAGGTTGTCTGTAGGAAAAATGTATTGGAATGCATATACATATGTTAGATACCTAAACATGCGATGCAGATATAGTAATAACACGGCAGTCTCGTTAAAATCGCTCACTTCCGGTTTTGATTATCACATAATAAAACACAAGGGCAAAAACAACAAAAATATAATCTCACAGGCATTTCATGGACAGTCGGTTTCTTGCTTCCGTAAGTCTGGTTTGATGTCTGATATAACGGGTGGGTAGATTTTTTGCTGAAATGGACAAGGGAATTGTAAAATTACACTGTGCCGAAACATCCGAAACATAAATTAAAAGCATGTAACAATGTCAACCCGTTTGATTCAGAAAAGCCAACACAATGTGAAATTACGTAAGTATACAGTATGACACAGTCTCCAAACACAGTCATGCATACGAAATTAGGCTTAGCTATCTAGCTGTAAGTTACTGCTGAAAAAGACTCACCTGTACCCTCGAAAGCAGTCCGGGTTGTTGAATCGTACGGGAAGGTTTTTGTCTACTCTGTACACATCACTTGTTTTCGGTGCGGTCGTGCCGCTTTCCGTAGAGAGATCGGGCTTTTCTTCATCCATGTGGCAGTACTGTGTGCTCCTGTGTGCGGCCGTGAGAGTAACGCGCCGTTGCTATAAACATTTACGTAACTAAGTGATGTCACCGCGTACATGAATGTACGCGACTTGAAGCCTTCCGCGTGTCTGGAATAAGAGAAACACCTCTCTGCAGAGTGACGGATAACCCGTAATCATACTGGTGCCCAGGTCACCGACTATGGATTATTGTAAGAGTGAAAATCAAATGTTCTAAATGATAATAGGCTACATTAAATACCTAAACAAATCGAAGCGCACGTAACGCATGTTTATATATGTAGATTTTTAAGTACGTATGTATGCATGATACATCAGTTGTGCCACCATCACAGCAGCATTTGCAAGTAATTTAACCAGATTTCGCAGTTTGATAATATGTGTGTGAAATATAGTTAATGTTATTGTTTTTCCAGTAGCAGATTCTTATTCTGTAAGAGAAGTAAGAAATAAATTTTACATTAAATTTCATCTAGACCTGTGTTAAAATGAAATGCAATGAGATTTGTTTTAGGGATCTGGAAGGTTGCTGGTTTGAATCCCAAGAAATGTGATTCTACTCCATTGGGCCCTTAATCTGCAACTGCTCTGTCCTGGATGTTAGTCTGTATCCAGCCCTGCAAGGAGGTCTTTCAACTTACAGGGAAAACGTGGGGGTTGGTGGCAGGACTGACACTCCAGCCACTGGGGAAAAAAACCTTCACACTGTTCCATTCCATTTGGACTAGTGTGGTGCTGAGGTATCACCTGCCCCACGGCTGCTCTCAGGCTCTCATGCCTGTGGTGGGTGTGGCTGTATCAGTGTATACTCCTTACCTTTCCTCCACCTAAATATGCATGTGTGAAAGTCTCATATAAGAAATAATACAATAGATGGACAAAATAACAGAAACTACACATGAAAAAGTAGTTTAACTTTGAAGTCACTGAATCATAATTACAAATGCAGCCACAACGGAGAGTCATATTTGGTTGAATGCCAGTTAGTATCAGCATAGTTCGCTCTTTGATATGAGTTTTCAAAGCAACACAAGGCAGCTAACAGAGTTTCAAAGAATCTAAAGGATGAATGTCTGAAACGCAAGTGCAGAACTGAAGTATCAAGAGGAACATTCTCAAAAAGAAGAAAATAATATTCATGTACTGTTACATTTTTCAATTATTTTGTATAGTCCCTACAAGGCCAACAGTAAGGGATGGCAGATTCATTCCTGGTTCTATAGCAGTGGTTTCTCCATTTTGCTATATTTAAGAAAAGCATTTGCTTAAATTGACATGACACATACACCAGGGCATAAGAGAGTGTTTGACATTGGGTGTGACACAAAAGTCTATTTTTGAGGGTGGGGCAAATGTAGTCAGATTAAATAGTGAGGTCTACATGTGGTCAGTGGTGGCTTAATGGTTAGGGACGTGCACTTGTAATGGTAGATTTTGGGGGCCCAATACTGGGCTGCCCCCCCCCCATCAGCAGTATACATACAGAATCAGGATGACTAGTGATGACACTGAAATACTAATGAGGTCCTTATATCTCAGTCAGCTGTTTCTCATCTTTTTTACCAGTAACTGCATCATCTGACCTTGGTTACAGACCCCATCAGCAGAACCAGGTTTACTGGGGTTCCTGGTCTATAGCAGCCTCAAATTAATTATGTTCTTCCTGAGGTGGGAGTCAGTCAGTCCATGACAGCCACATGGTTCTGGATAATATTTCAGGGGCACCTTTTGTGATTTTGTTCTGGACCCGAACAAAATCTATCCTAATATCCTTTCATTCTCTGAATTTAGTACATTATTTCTTACAAGGTCAGAAGTTCAGTTTATGCTATAAATATGACTAAATGTGATCTTGTTTTTCCAAAAGCAGTAATGCTGCAATGGTGCAGTCAGCTAATGCCACAACTTAAAATATAGCAAAGCTAAATTACGTTGCTATCCTGAGCAGAGCTGCTATATAAGCATCTTCTAAGAAAAAAAATCTGTCAGGCTGCTTTTCTGTTTTATGTCATTACTGATTTTCTATTATATATTTTCAAAAGCAAAACGAAATATAATTTATATTGCGTGTAATATTTGCACTGCATTCCAGCTACATTCAAATCAGAGCTCGCATCCGAAAGGTAATGTGCAACAACATTAGCGAGGGAGTAAATCTGAAATGCAGTGCATCCTCTGCACTTAACTGCATGTGTAGTAAGACTGATAGTCTGTCAGGAAACTCTGCACTCGGATTTACTGAATGTGGTTCGAGACTGAATTTCAAAGGGAAAAAAACACAAGTGGCAAGCAACTTAAAAACTTTGACAAGTGAGAGATTTCTGAGATTGCCATGGTATAGCAGTTTAATCACAGAAAGTATGATAATGTACACAGTTCTATTAACATGATTATTTCTAAATAAAGACTGGTATTCATATAACCTGCAAAAAGGAAAACAAACAAACAACAAATAAAAAAGAAATCTTGAAAAACTACATCTTTTGGTCCTTTTATCCAAAGGTGAACGAAGATAAAAGGTTTCTTTGCTATAACTATGTGGGAGTAGTTTCTGTTCAGCTTTCTTGTGTATTCAGAGCTGAAGGTGCCAGTGTCCCAGCTGCCAGTGTCCCAGCTGCCAGTGTCCCAGCTGCCAGTGTCCCAGCTGCAACAGCAATGACACTTTACAAAGCAGCTTCATCTCTCATCTTCTTTTCCTTTAAAACTCTAAAGGGAAAATCTATGCAACATCAGGCATCAGCCTCTCCTAGTTCCCCAGGGAGACATAATCACATATTACTTAAACATATTACATAAATGGCTAAATGCAACTCATTCACACATGTGAAATAATCTTCTTACACTGTTTTGGTGGAATTTTATACTTTCACATATATAATAATCATCCCATCTCAACTAACCATGTTTTGGAAATAGTTTTCTAAAAGATTCAAATAGTTAAGACATAAGCAATGCAGCCAACTCTAATCGAGCACTGACTTCGATCAGAAGTCATAACATCAGAAAGAGAAGCAAAACAATAGTCTAATGTTAATATATTTTATATGTTACTAAAGCAAAGAAAAAACTGTGCCTGTCTGGGAGGTTTCAGAAACTCAGCAATACATTGCAGAGTAACAGTTGTAACATAACTTAACATAATATCCCCAGTCAGATTCATTAAAACAAATCTGTTCTAATCCAAACACAAAGAAATTTAAATTTTAATAAACTTAATTTGCTGCTTATTATGTGCTGAGAAGGAGTTTTATGGCAGAATTTTAAAGCATTTAATAGTTCTTTATTAGTATTACAATGTTTACAGATTAACACTGGCTTTTTAAAAAAGATCATGATAAATCTTCACTGTTTGATGTGCTGTTACAGTACATTTTCTACTAGCTGGGTTACAGCACTGTTAAACTATCCTCATTCGTGCCTAATAATTATGGGTGACTATTGACAGCACTTCATTGCAAGATTCATATTCTTCAGAATGTGCCCGTTTGATATTAAATTGCTGAAAGTGATTGTGACGTTTGAGGATCTGACCTTTCTGGCAATTGATCAATCAGTATGAACCTAGTGTTCCACAGTGTATTGACATACTCTGCTAACAGTATCAAAAACCTTTGTAGCTTCAGAAAGCTTTTAACCTCTCTTTAAATGTTTTGTACAAAAGGATTTCTCCCTCTTTCACACACACACTTTTCTCAAACACCTCAAGACCACTCTATAAATTGCAGGAGGGAACTGAGGTTGAACATTATAGTATGAAAGCTTAGTTCATTGCGTTAATCATAAAAAGGTCCTCTCTAGAACAATGAATTATTCTTATCACTCATAAACAGCCCTGAGAAAGTTTCAGATACTGAAAAACAAAGACAGAATCTGGAATTGTCAGCCTAAAATGCTTAGTTCAAGAGGGGTAAGACTTGATATTCCTATATTTCCACTGAAAGAAATCCAGTCTGAGGTCAACACTAATCCAAGTATACATTTTTCGCAGAAAGCTCTCCTGGGATGTTAAATCTCAAAATCCACACAGCATAGGGCTTTAATTTCATCATTTTGCGATAGTCAGTACAACTCACATTTCAGCGAAAGACTGCAGAAAAGCTTCTTCTATCTCTTCACGAGTATTTTGTGTTGGAGATCTTTTTCCACAGCAGAGTTTTCAGGTTGTTGAGGACCAAAGAGTGGTGGACCTCCATCTGGCTGGCCAGGCCGCTGAGAGTCATGCAGGTGTGTAGCTGCTTCTCGAGGTCCAGCCGTAGGTCAAGCGGAGCACCGAACAGTAGGTAGTCCTGGAGCAGCCGGCACACCTTGGCCAGGTTGGGCTGCACCACTTCCGTGTTGCATTGCCTGATGAGTTTGTCACAAGTGGCCGTGCAGTCCTTCCCATAGGTGCAGTCGGCATTTTTCTCACACCGGCGTCCCTTCAGAAACCGCCGCACTACCATCTCTGACACAACACTGTGAAGGTCTGCCATTCTGCAGTCATATTTCTTGTTGTAGCCGATGTGGTGTGGGCTGGTATCACACATAAAGAAACTGCCGTAAGAGCCATGGAAGACCTCCTCCACGAACTCTAACAGGCCAATTGTAATACGAGCACGGCGAGGCCAGGCGGGGGCCAGCCACTGGTTCATATTGACGCTAAGAGCCATGGGGACCAGCGACTGCAAGTAATGTGGGACAACTAGCCTGTAGAGAGAGCTGTGCTCCACACGCTCTGTCACATACAGGTCTCCGCAGAAGCCAAGCAGTTTCGGAGTGTGTTCCTTCTCGTGCAACGCCATCATCAAGAGGAACTCATTCACCTGCAGGAGGGCCCAGATGGACTTGGCTTCTGCCAAAGACACTTTGCCATCCTGGTTGACGTCTGCTAACGTAATGATATATCCCACGAGGCTTCCCAGGGATGTCTGTTCGCCCAGATTTGACTATGCAAGGGAGAAGACAGTATAAAACAACTATTTCTACTACATACATGACAATTATTACGTTTAAAATACACCTGATACAAATCCTATCTGAGCAAAGGAAGTGATTTTATGTCAGCTTTTGAGAACACTCATTTTGTGTTTGACTTTGGTATTCATACTCAGTTTCTGACTGGAGACAAAATACACAATGTCAGATAAAGTACTGATTATCTTATCTGTTGGTCATGTTGTCTTTTTTCCATTCATTGCT